TGATCTCAGACATGTAGCAATCTGATTTAATTCGAATCTGCAAAAAAGACCAAGAAAACTTTTTGTGTAAACAAAAGCAAACCCTGTTATTACACAAATCAAACTTTCTACTTTCATCACTGGGGCTTGGGTTTGTAAGCACTTAATCATACCCACGCACTGACGTGATGTGGAAGGTATATCTGCCACCAGATACAGGCATATAGACACCCGGTTAACTCAAGGTTCGGTGACATCACAAAGGCTCTAAGAGCTGGGCAAGTCGGGAGAAGCTTCACGGAATGGGCAGTAGGAGCTGAGCCTTGGGGAAGATGTCCAGGACAAGAAGTGCTACAGGCGACAGTGAACCAGGAACACAGCCCAGCACGTGGGGCAGACGGTCCGCTCGACGGACAATAGGTTCTTTGAAGAAATGGAGAAGTCTTCGGAAGACAAGTTGGGATTTAATTGTAGAAAGCTTCAGGGTGCCTGCGAGAAACCTTGCACTTGACGCTGTGCGCCTGGGACTGAACACCCCTGAGCAGGAGAGGCCCAGGACGGGCTGGGCGAGGAGCCTGGACACATTCAAGGCTCTGCAATGTGAGGGGCTGCCGTGGAACGCGTAGAGAAGTCGGGCCAAGTACAAGCATGCTCTGCTCTGAGCTAAAACACACTGGAAATGAACGCATCGTCACAAATGAAAATTCTCCCATCTTGGATTTTATTTTTCACAACACTCGAAGATCCCATTTTCAAAATATGAACAATAAAGACCCCCCCCCCCCCCACGGGACTTCTCATTTCACTGCAAATACATTCTTCCGGTTTTAGCAACCTTTCACATATGCTGCTTTCCACGTCATTAGAGAAACTTTTCATTTTATCCCATATATATAAATGTATATAATGGCATATATAATTGCCATTATTTGAAAAACAAAATTTATATTTACATGTCGAGAGCAATTTTGTATAAATATACAAAATAAAATAAATTTGAAGCAGAAACTAGTATAAAAGTCTGTTTTGGAAAAACAACGTAACAATAACATAACAATTTTTTTGGAAAACAGCATAACAATCTTTGGTTGCAAAAGAGTCAACTGGGCTTGTTAAAAATCAACAGTACAGCCATCTCTCGTTTCTGAGCAAGTGCTACATCCCTGAAAAGTATGTGAAAATTGGGTATAGTAAAACTTCACCTTCGTACTTAATTCAAAATTCCTGTTTCTTTCTGCTCGAGCGTATCTTCCCG